GTTTCCTGAGATATCATATACCTGTGCTGTATTTATTACCTGAGTTACCTGAGATATCATCTACCTGTAGTGATATTACCTGTGTTCCCTGAAATATCATATACCTGTCCTGTATTCATTACCTGTGTTACCTGAGATATCGTCTACCAGTAGTGATATTACCTGAGTTATCTGAGATATCATATACCTGTAGGGATATTACCTGAGTTGCCTGAGATATCATATACCTGTAGTGATATTACTTGTGTTACCTGAAATATCATATTCCTGTGCTGTATTCATTTCCTGTGTTACCTGAGATATCATGTACCTGTAGTGATATTCCCTAAGTTACCTGAGATATCATATACCTTTAGTGATATTACCTGTGTTACCTGGGATATCATATACCTGTACTGTACTCATTACCTGTGTTACCTGAGATATCTTATACCTGTAGTGTATTTATTACCTGAGTTACCTGAGCTATCATATAACTGAGATATCATATACCTGAGTTACCTGAGATATCATATACATGTACTGTATTTATTACCTGAGTTACCCGAGATATCATATACCTGTACTGTATTTATTTCCTGTGTTACCTGAGATATCATCTACCTGTAGTGATATTACCTGAGTTATCTGAGATATCATATACCTGTATTGATATTACCTGAGTTACCTGAGATATCATATACGTGTACTGTATTTATTACCTGAGTTACCTGAGCTATCATATAACTGAGATATCATATACCTGAGTTACCTGAGATATCATCTACCTGTAGTGATATTACCTGAGTTACCTGAGATATCATATACCTGTAGTGATATTACCTGTGTTACCTGAAATATCATATACCTGTACTGTATTCATTACCTGTGTTACCTGAGATATCATATACCTGTAGTGTATTTATTACCTGAGAATGTTGATCATACAGGTTTCATCATTGGTCCTACTGTAGCCTTCAGCATGATAAACCACCAGACAGACGTAGACTTTGTTTCCTGTGTTAAGGTGTGGAATGTTGTTTATAGCTTATAGGTGAATGCTACAGTTACGTGTATAACTTATACGTCAACAAGACTTTTATAGTCTCTCAAATAGTTCATGTGTAGTTTTATAAATGTGGCTTGGATTACAAATTTGCCAGGAAAAGGGAACAGTATTCTTAAATTTTAAGGGTCAATATTTTTGTGTGCCTGTGACATTTTATACTAAATTCAAACAAATGGTTTGTTTTATTTTCATTTAAAAAGCAGACATTGGCAATCACCTTCAACTGTCAATACATTGGAACTAAATATACATTTTCTGTGGTAAGAATAGCTACAGAGCTAATGTTTCATGTTATATATAAAGGACAAAAAAGAAAGTTTCTTGTATCTTAACGTATCGATCTATCTTGTAGTGTCAACTTCAGTTGATTTAATAGTTGGGTCCGGTAATGTAGGCCGTTTCTATAATAAGACTTCAAGACATCAGTTTGATCCGACACCCAATTAAGTCACTGACTTAAATTTGCCTGCAGATAGTTTTTCTATGCATTTTCTTGTGTTATTTTACTGTCGTGGCCAACTCGTAATGGAAAATTACTTCAAAAATTATCATGGGTGAAATGAAAATCTCTGATCAATGCAAGGTTATTATTCTTCAGAAGTTGATTTTTGTTTGCATTAAATGTCACAGTTTTCAATGTTATTAATCCCTGCTAGAGCATTTAAGTCTTTGATTGCCTTCTGTTAATTGTGAGATGTAACGTGAACAGTCAACATCACTCCCTAGAGACCTAGTTAATATGTTCAATATGCATTGAATTTTTTAAGCAGAGATTATTGCATGTCACTGTGATCAGTAACTGTTTGATATAAAAAATATCAAAATACAATTTTACTTTACAACTACTGACAGCTAATTAGCATCACTAATGTGCCTTGCACGTAATTGACCCAGACGGAGTGCATCCATGATTTTTCAAATATTTCCATCAATATATATACATGTATATAAAAAAAAGTAGATTGCACACTGCCTTTAACATATACAGACAATGATTGCTAAAAATAAATAAATAAATCCTAATGTGATGGGGAGCTAAGATAATATATTTGATTAGTGCAGTTTTATACATTGAGCTTAAGAAGAATAACCCAGTTATTGCTATCATATAAACTACCGTTTACAATATATATTAACACACTTTCACCACTGTGGACCATAATGGACTCATCAAGATAAATGTATTGTCGAGTCTACTAAAATTACCAAGGGGTGAGAGGGTTAAACAGAGAAAGTTAATCATGTATTAAGTTCTCCACCCGTACTACTGTAGGAATTTATAGATAGGGAGATTATTATATCTCTTCCATTAATTTTGTCCCCTTTCTTTATAGAATTCTCGACAATAGCAGAGCCAACACTACTTATATACCTTTTCTGTGGCTGTGGTCCTCAGAATATATTTTCTCTCTCCCTTTACATTTCATACCATTTAAATATAGCATCAACCGTTGAATACAGAAGTTATGAGTATTGCAAAATATCCCTTCCATATTTAGGTCACAATATAAACAAGTTCATAAATCACATCCTTGTAGATTAACCAAAAATGAAGCCATAAAAATTACACTGAGTCAGATAAAAAAAAAAAAAACAAGGCTCTACTAATTATGTGTCATAAAGCAGTGAAACCCATTCCATTATTTGCGTCACAGATTTCTAAAAATATTAACACAGAATCAATCAATTCCTTGATGTAACGAGAATGGATAAAATATGAATTTGTGAACTGATGAATGATCAAATATGAGATCATAACAATTTTTTCTGCAAATTTGAATTTTTTAATGATACGTTTTGAAGTAGAAACATTTGTCAGACAGAAATTAGAGTGTGGAATGTCTCTGCAGGAATCCTTAAATATAGCATTGAGAGTATAGCGACATTTTGGCGTGTTGTTTTCTCTATTAAAGTGCTGATTTTTATGCTAGCTGACATCTACTTGAACAGAAATTTTTCTGTCTATATATGTCAAGGAATATATGTGGGCACTTTTCTGAAGCAGACGATCCATTACTAAGCATACTGTGGCTATATATATATATATAAAGCTTATCTCTGGCAAGCACATTGTACTCAACGTTATCAAGATAAGGGGTGAAATATCAGGGGAATATCTACAGAAGATGGGGTGGGAGCTAGCATTGCCTTCAGTACTGTTGGAACCCTGTGGAAATAACAAATTTCCATTTGACCTGATTGTAAGTGACTTGATCAGAATCTGCTGTAATGATCAATACAAATATATCACTTCTGTGCTATACACAGAAACATCTCGATCAAAGGGTTAGATTGGTTGGGTAGTGCTTTTCATTCACATTAATCCGACCCTCACGTGCTAACACATCCAATCCAACAAGAGTGATCAATAGACATTTTGATAAATTGTATCGCAATGGTTTTTAAATCAAGTGTATATTTTATTTTATACTAGTACAATGTATAGGGTAAGATTTTGCTTTATGCTTTACCTCAGAATATCGTCTTCAGGGTTCTTCTCCCACACTTTCTATGCGTGAAAAACCTGCTAGTTGTAATAATGAACTTGATGCACTGTGGTCTCTACCAAGGCCACATGAATTGTTTGATGTCATCCGATGTTAAGATATGTAGATACTGAATAAAGGGCATGGGGTTTGATAAGGAGGACATAAAACTCGGGGAAAACAAAATCGTGCAATATTTATTATTAAATATTCATATTTTTCATGACAGAAACTCTGATATACGGTTTTATTATTTTTTCATATTATTCACAACAAGTGATTGACCAGAAGTGCATCGTGTGTCCACTAATAAAAACCGATATCGACTGGGAGGGCGTGATGTTTTGTTGAAGGTTGTTTCTAAAAATAGAGTTATGACGTGTCTCCAAACGAACGCACCGTCCTGCTTCCTTAGGGTTTTTTTCAGATTGCTTACATAACTGTTTTGAAAATAATAAAACAATTGTAGCCTTCAACGTCGGTATCGACCTCAGCCAAATGCTATAATTGAAAATTACTGGTATTAATTTTACTGTAGCTATTCCAAGGACACAAAACCCTGGACAAGAAACAAAAAAAAAATGCAATAATATATCCTGAAATTTGGGTATACTGTCTTCAAATGGCCATAGCTATTATGAGGACAGAAAACCCAGAAAAAGAAACACAATAATGTAATATATACGAAGAATGTTATGATTATATACAGTGTATAGTATGTTATTGAATTTCTGTGCTTTGAGTCTTAGAGTTCTTTTATGTCCATTTCTTCTTTTTGTTTACCAATTGACCAGTTTTGTTCATAAACATTGCCAACTTCATATGAATGCATTTAAATGAAGATAAGAAACTTCAAATGCTGCTGCTACAAATGGAGGCACAATCTGATATTACCTATGCTCTTGACTATTAGGAATCAATACATTTGCCATCAGTCTACAACATTGCAAAATACCACTTCCATAGGGGCGAAGTCAGCTGTAAAGATGAACAATGTAATGTAGATGGATGCTTCAAGCAAAGTGATTGAAAGTCATGAACATCAAAGTTCATGTCCAAGTTATCGTAAATTAATTGTCAATACAATTGGAAAGCCATTCAGTTTTTTTATCTAATGGAGTATGCTTCAATGTCAAATAGAGATTATATATTTCTAAATTATGCATGATAATTCTTTTTGCTTTATGGTATTTCATACAGGCTCATATCAGTGTATATTGTGTGTGATGGGCTCATAACTTTTCCTCAAAATGAAAACAAATATGGAAGTTACCTGGTATACCCATGTCAAGAACAAGGTCAATAATGACCTTTTCAGAAGTTATGTGTCGAAAATATTGTTGACTTTGTATGAAAAGTAACTTTTGAATGCAGAATTTGAGTGGAGCAAAATTGCAGTGAATATTATAAATCATGGGAAAACTTTCCTGATAAGATTATTTATAATTATGAATCATGTTTTGTAGGTGACAAATGCAACATGTGGCTACCACGATGGAATGCGCGGCTTCCTGAAGAAGATCACAGACGGCTTTGTCTGGGTGGACATGCAGGCTGGCCATGGAGCATTATATACATTCAGGTGTATGGCCGACAAATCCTAGGTTTAGTCGCCTGTCAAGGTTAGCGCTGGTCAAGGTTAACCACGTGAAATTATTGGACAATCTAAGATACAACATTAACATCAGTTGATGGTCAAGTGATTGATCAGCCATACAGACAAAATACTTTCCTTGAAGTTGCCAATAGATTTATTCATAGAATGGTCGTTCACACAAAAAAGTTGACCAAAAAGTTGCCAGTTAAGTCATTCTTAGAATGATTCACAAGAAAAATGACCTGGAAATTGCCAATGGAGTTGCATTGTGTTGCCTCTCATTTATGACCACTCATCCAAAGTGACAAGAAACCTTTCTGACCTTGACATAATCAACAAACTGACAGTCATTCATATAGACAAAAGATATATATTTTTGTACAATGACAAATGCTGTTTCAATGATGGGTTTTATCTTATCTAGCTTTTTTTTTAAGGAAGAATGTGTTTTGAATTGCTGAAATGCAATGATGAAAAGACGAGTGATTAACTGTGTATGTAAACCATGATTTCAATATCTGTTAAAAGTCTACATGTCAGTTATTCCGGACTGGTGCATTTATCATTGAAGTGGATCCAGTGAGGAATATAGCAAACACCAAAGAGCCTATGGTTCTAAAAATGGACGTTGGTGCAGTTTATCAGGGTTTTATAACAAATTGGTTGTGATTGCATCTATGATCGGATCTGTTTACTGAATGGTGAATTTTTGAGTGGTTTCTTGGAATGAATCCACTATAAGTCAACCTCTCATTTAGTTGGAAATATGTACCTTGGATTATGTACCGATCTGGTTGTAAATGTGACCAATGTGTTTGTTTCCACCAATGTTCCTGCTGAGAGTTACGTCTCAAATTTCATGAGAAGAAGGAGAGAAATATACTGCATAGTAACCAAGACAAACATGCTTCCTAGGTCTGTGAAAACAAGTCGCTTTATGAACCATTTACATTTACACCAACTCATCCACTTTAGTGAAGAGAAATCAATCAAACATAATATCTATGAAATGGGAAAAGGAATCTTCTCATTGCTTTAATCAACCATAATCTGAGGCATACTACCAAAATAGCATCAACATCTTGTGTTTTTCTTTTTGTGTGTTCGTTCATTTTGATTGCATTGGGCAACATTTTTGCAATTGAAAGGTAATCTTCTTTTTTTAACAAAAACTTAATTTTCAAAGGAACTATTTTTATATTTTCAGTAAAACACCCACCTCTGAAGCATTTCTAATAACGAGAAAGGACACAAGTGATTAAATACATTGTAATATGTTCAATACCGAAATCATTTAAAAGGGCAAGGGATTCGAATGTAGAAAAGATAACAAAAATAATAAATTAATCATTGTAATCCAAACTGGATTAAATTCATTTATTTGCGAATATACAATCATGCAACATGCTAGTTTGTGTGTGCGTTTGTGTGTGAGAGTGTTGCTGTAGTATACAATGGTACGATGAGTTTTCTGTGAAGGTTGATGTTGATTACAGCCCGACACCTATGCAACATAAATCACACTTTTACTACATTTACTAATTATTTTACTGCAGGTTTTTATAGTTTCCTCATGTGGACTTTTCTTTCAGATATATATGTAATTGTAGTATTAAGTGACATATTAATGTTGATTTTTTATCTATGCTCCATACAAGTAAAATGTCTGTTATTTTTTTTTTATAATGCAAAAAATAAACCAGCAAAATGGGCAAAAGAACGATTAAATGAAAAAAGAGCAGAAAAACAATCTCGCATAATTAATTATTGAATTTTGATTTTGAAATAATATCAAATTATACGTAACTTAATTATTTCCTGAATGATCAAGTACAAGTATTTAACGTTATAATAACCACTTGAAATTAAAATAACGTGTGTTGAACCTACTATAAGATATGTATTATGTTTTCTTGATGTATTTATAAGTCAGTATATATATCAAATGTTTATAACATGTATCGTAAGGTGTGAAATGTATGCTAGGTATATATGTACATGATTGCAGTTATTGTAATTATATAGTATTAAGGTGGTATGTATTGTGTAATTGTGCATGTCACTTGTTGAGATATGGATGCAATATGTAACGTCAACCTTTCTGGTTATTATACTGTAACCTTATACGATATACCGAATTCATTGTTATTCATGTGGGTATTGACATTGTACAACACTTTCTGAGAAAATCAAAACAAGAAAACAAATGACGTATTCTGTCTAACTTATAGAAATATGTACCTTGGGCAGACACAGGGGACTGCAAGAAATATGTACCTTGGGCAAACACAGGGGACTGCAAGAAATATGTATCTTGGGCAAACACAGGGGACTGCAAGAAATATGTACCTTGAGCAAACACAGGGGGCTGCACCTTTGAAATATCGAAATAAATGTCGTATGGCAAAATGTATTACACTGCGCTATACACTATACAGCGATACCATCATTCTAGAACTTTACTTGATAAAGTACATCACAATTTGCTGTTCATATGGCTACACTACTAAAACATATCTACATTAATAAATGTCAGTATAATTTTTTTCTGTAAAGATGATGATTTGTGAGATATCGAAGTTTCCATGTCTTTGTTTTCGACCAGGATATACTTAATTTATGCCTTTTATTACGACTAAAAATGTCAATAAAATGTATATACAGTTTATTGAGGTTTCATGATATGTGTTTTTACTTTTTAAAACAATAAGAATGTTCCATAGGGGGTCAGCGAAGGTAATTTTACAATAGGTGCATTAAACGTTCATTACAGCCGCGTGCATTAAATGTAAATATAACTTTATTCTTTTAAATTATTTATTAGTTGAACTTTATTAAATGTACATTGTGCGTGTGAAGAAAGACACAAAAAATACAGGAAATATATATTCAGGTAAATCTTCATTCTAGATGAAGACAAAGTTTTTCCTTAATTCTGTTATATTTGACTTTGATATGATTAATAGGATTATTTTGGCTGAATATCCCTTTTAGTTTATCAATCTGCTGCTGATAAACTTGCTGAGGTCCAGGTAATTAAGGCTGCTATAAATATTGACCTTAGCCTGCAGTTTTTAAACAGAATGTATAACATGATAGCATCCATGTTGTTGTGACATGATCAGCTTTTATGCTTACCAGAATGGGACATGTACATTTGTATTAGAGCAAACACTGTAAAACACTGATTGATCAGAATTTGGTTGTAATGTTCATTTTTGTAAATATTTCATTTTCAGTCGATGCGTTGCAATCAAAACAGGCTTTGCATGGGTTAAATTGATCTCTCGGTTTCGAATTTAAATGCATACATCAGTTGATAGGATTTTAAGTGTTGGATTATCAATCCTACACATTTTAATCATTTGAAATCACGCCCCACGTGTGGATGTGTATGACAGCTGGCTGCGGCTTTCTTGGATTGTTTTTGTTTAACATTTAACAAACAAGAAGGATTTCCACAGACAGTTTGTTCAAAAATAGTGCTGTTTTCGTCTATAACAAAATATAGCGTTTCTGCTTTTTTCGTTCTAAATGGTGCACGGTATCCTTCTATAGTGTCCGAAGGATAAATTTGGTTTTTTAAAAACCAACCCAAACATACGGTGACTTAAATGTCCGTGTAGTAACTTTAAGGTTCTTGCAAATGTATATTTCCGGCTACCACACTGCCATCACAACACTACTGGTAGTCCTGTGGAAAGATACCTTAACCCTTTATCAAAGTGAATACGTTGTAGGGTATCATGTAATTATTTATCAGAACTGAAATCACGATGAAAGATCAGTCTGTGAATTACTGCATACGGATTTACATTACATACTAGTTGATTTATACATCCAACACATGTAGATACTAATTCGCCATAAAACGGTAGTGTATTGTGTAACAAGGTGTCGTATCCTGGAGCAAACATTAATTATCTTGGCAAACTATTGATATACAAAAGAACAAAAATATTTGTGGAATCATATCCTGGTTCATGTTACAGTACAAAAAAAAAACGAAAAATTACAAATGGGGCTTTGTTTTGATACAATTTATGCCGCATGAAACAGCATGTAAACAATATTGCAAAATTGCAGCGCTAAGCTAATACAACCTTTTCGCATATGTTTCATAAATATTGTTTTATATTTGATGGATACAGGGAAATTAGTATGAGACAAAAACGTATACAAGTGTGTATGTGATGGATTACATTTGATGTTTTTGTTTATCAAATATGTCAACTAGCTTACAGCGAGCTGACTTCCTTGTCCCGTTGTCTACTGACGGGTTTATTTGGTTTTAATGTTGATGCATCGATTGTCCTCCTGACATTTTAAATATACAAGATGCTTTGATGCATAATAATGAAAACAAAACTACTGCTTTGACTTGGGGTATATAGATGATGATGAAGACTAATACAAACGGCTGTGAGAGTGGTACCATCATTTTGAAAACTCATGCATACGTTATTCCGTCTTTGCGTATTGCAGAGTTATCTTCTCTTTGGAGCAGGTATTGATTGTTACGTCATTGGTTTGTGTGAGAAAATTACGTCGTTTTCTCAAAAATTGATGATGTTACTCTCACAAACAAGTGACGTCACAATCAATACCTGCTCCCAAGAGAAGATAACTCTGCAATACGCAAAGACGTTATAAGAGCTTGGAAGGTGTTCTCTATCCAGTATTTGTCAGAACAAACAAAACCATTTGCATCATATTTAAACGCCAAAGTTTTGTTCTGCTCTAAATAACCAAGGCATCATATGTATCTGGGGTCCAATGTCATTTTTTGTTTGGTTATCATTCAAGAGAACAAGTCGACCCATTCTCCGCCTGTTCATCTATTATACATATTCATAACATTAATCATAATTTACAGTCATTTAGACTTTATGATGTATCAAACGATTTACCTGTGATTATTGTTACAGTGGAATCTTGTTAGTCCAATAGCCCGAACAGGACATTAATTTTCAAAAATCGTAACGCGATATTCTGGATTTTAGTCCAACGTACGAGGTTCCATTGTTCCCAGTCTTAATAAACAATGTCTCCGAATTGTCATATGTCCGTCTTTCGTCATCTTGTTACTTGTAGCTTCTCTGGCCTCTTAAGATATCTCATTCGTGATATTGTTAGCAAAACAATGCATATTTCATTGTAATGGTGATTTTGGAAAAAGTGCAAAGAGACGATTCATTTTTCTGGCAAATTAAAAGATATTTCAAGAATAGCCAATTTTTTTTTTATCTTGGATTTATTTTTTATTTTTTTTATTTTTTTTTGTTATAATACAGGGTTTTGATTAACTATGTCGCCGAATTGTCAGATAGCTGACGCATAAGCTTAACTTTCTTTTGTCATTTGGTATCTTTTCTGGCCTCCTCAGATGTGTCATTCGTGAAACTATAAAATAATAATTCATATAGAGCAATGTTTTTTGAAAGTTTGCAAAATTAGAGATTTATTATTCTGGTTTGCTGGAAAGAAAACTTCGGGCATACTGATTGTTTCTGTTTTATAGTTTTCAAAGAGAGAATCGGTTAAGAATATTTTCATCCGGACCTACATTAATAGGATTGATATCTGTTACCAATAAAATGATCGCTATTGAAATTGAAGTCTTAGGAAATCTTGTATATCATTATGTATTGATTATGACGTCACCATTATAGAAAAACTTCAAACGAGCTTCCTTTCCATATATAATTATATTACATGTCTATTACATTATGGAGCACTGGTCAATTCCATTTCCTGTTTAAAAGATGCAATTTCAGAGCCCCGAAGTAAATCAAAACACAGTTTGTTTCTATTAATGATGTCAACATCTGCTGTGAATAACCGCTTAACATCAGATCAATTTCAAACTATGTTTGAATTTGTTGATTCAAATTAAGCAGTAAATCGACGTCATAATAATGTTTTGTAAAAGAAACGGTATTTTTTGGTGATTGATCAGTGCGTAATATGCTAGTATGGACTCATTTGCAGGCATATGTTCGATTATTGATATATATATATATATATAAATGGCAAGTTAAAACTTAAATCAACATCTAGTAAGTACAATATGAATAACATAAAATTAATTATGTTTTAATTTGAATGATAAAACATATTTCTATCATGAATATATCGTTATAAGCTGTATATAACAGTTCGCGGTATATTTATATTAACTAATTTCGGCGGGACTACCGATATTGAACCGAATATTAATAGAGTACACCCATTGACACTGACTGGAAAGTTTATCAAAGAATATATAAACGTCTGTAAATGTAAAATTTCAATGTGATGCATTTCATATAATGGAAAATGTTGCAAATACACCTGTATTACTAAAACCATGTACCATGATTAGATGCTTTTAATTTAACGAAGCGCTGACTTCCAAATATTTAAGGTAGCTATGTTAACTGACGACTTCTTAAGCCGTAGTCACGCCACATACTTTTAAATATGAACCTTTTGGTTTTATGTTGATTAAATATCACCAATGAATACCGACTCTTTTCAAATACATCTTTAAACGTGTTTTGTATATATATTGTATTTTTGACACGGTACCAACCATTACTACTGTATAACCTGTTGACTGTATGTTTATCATATTACCTATGCTTGTCTGTACGATAGATTCATAATTTTCATTGTATATAAATCAATAAGAAAATTATTATCAAGTGTGAGTAGATTGTTCAATTTATTCTTGAATCATGATTTCACATCACTGAATCCCGCCACATGAAACGGTCATTAAAATCGATTTCAACAAATCACCCTTCTTACTTTTTTTATTACACAGTGTGGAGCTGTTCTGGTGTTACTGGAACCGATATAAACAAATCGGCCTCATACAGGATTTACATTGCTTCAGTGTCATTAGCATTTGATATAAATCATTCACAACATTTTACTTTTTAAAAACAAGATCTTTCAGGTTATTTCAATATCAATTCATCGTCGATTATACTCGTAATATCATATTTGAACCCCAAAGACAAACGCTGAAATCGAAATCTAGGAACAAAGTGGACACAAACAAAACAACATTATCATGAATCACTAGAAAGATGAACGTACACCTTTACAATTTATTAATAAATACAGTATGCCAACAATGAATAACACGAAACCATGTGATCTGGAAGGTTTGCTAAACCAAATGAAATGTTTCCGAATCCTTTTCAAATTTTGTTAAGTGGTTTTGCTTCCCGAATTATCATTTCTTGTCCAGGTATTTTTTGAAGAATTTGTGAAACAAGCGACAAAATTCGAATGGGAGCTATTTTTCCAATTGGGTATAAGTCATTCAGGAGCTGTTATTCAAATAAGATACTTTCGGATCTTTTTGACAACGCCTAAAATATATTCTAGGTTTTACATGCGATTAGGATTGATTAATTTATGTCATATCAATTAAAATCATACTACTTCAGTGATACGTGAAAAACAACAACTGAATCTGTTCATGCAAGAGCAGCATATCCTGACTAGGCCGCTGAACACTTTTTTTCTGTAAAAATGCAAGCAAATTGAAATTACTACATTCTTTGTTAACTTTAAGAACTAGCCTGTTACCTTTATCAGTCGCGAATGATACTAGGACCCTTCAGATGTTCTGTGTGCTACACTTCTTAATTGGGACACCTAAAATCACTCCTT